AAAAAAAAAAAAAAAAGCTGGAACTTCAAATTCCACCAAAAAGGTGGGAAAATCATTTCCACCAAACCAAAGAAAGTGTGCACGTGTCAGGGTGGGAGGGAAAACAATTTCCCTAGAAAAAAAAGCCTATCAAACATGACAAAATGGTGAAAATTTTCCATGGAAAAAGCTTTGTATCAAACAGGGCCTAGTGCATTTGAGTAACATGAGTGGAGTGCTATCTTTCAAACGGCAATTTCTTATGACCATATTTGATTTGCTGAAAAGTAAAAGTAGGTTAAATTTACTTTTTTAAGTTATTACGAAAATGAAGGATTATTGGAAGTACGAGTGAGGTCCCCACTGAGGCCTGCAACTTGTAACTAGATCACTCGAATTAGTCATATTCCTATACTTGAATTTGCGGTCCAAATTCTCCAAGCAGCAGATATTTTCATATAGATTTTTTTTCATGCACATGATCAACCAGTTAAGCTATTTGGCTCCTACTTGAAAGTGAGAAAGAAGGAAAATGGGGTTGAGTTCAGCTTGTCCTGTGTTCTCAGCTTGGCTGGTTTACAAGCAGCACTATCTTTGGCGGCCGCCAGTATCCAGTGTTCCTCAGCTACACTTTCCTGTACGTTTTTAAGTTGTTTAGTTCCCATTTGATAGTAAACATTTATTGAGTCGTATGTTCTATCTGAAAAATGCAATCGACTAGCCTAGACAATTATATGTTGATTATCGTTTTCACAAATTATGTGATCGTGGGATTTTAGGCTTAACAAACATGACCTTAATTCAAAATTCCAAGAAATGACTTATGTGATCTGACTCTAAAAACTTCAGTAATTATGCAGAGATGCAAATTTGATCCTGGGAGACCTTTGATATCTTTTTCAAAGGGCATAACCAATAAATTCGAAGTATTTTGTAGCCAAGTTGAAGCCAAAGAGAGCTTAAGCGATGAAGCTTGTGAACTCGTGAATGGGACAGAACTTACAATCGGAGAAGGAGATGAAAGTATAAGTGCGAATCTTTTCCAAGCAGTGAAGAACAATAATTCAACTGGAATATTGTTATTGTCTGACATTTATGGGTTTGAAGACTCGTCCACTAAAGATTTTGCATATCGCGTTGCTTGCAATGGTTACAAGTACGTATGATCTTAAATTTCGTATATGATCTTAGGACACGTTTTGGTATTGGTAAAGCAGATTAGACAATAATATTGAAGCATAAAAAGAAGGTAAACCCTTTTCTATTGTACTGCCGAGTCCTGTGTGATATTGCATACCAAACATACCCTTAGATTTTTCTTTTTATACGAGTTATTCTTTCTATAGAAGGGTGAAAAATAAGCATGGCCTTAGAAATTCTGCACTCCGCAGACAAAAACATCATGAGACCTTCGAAATTCGTTGAAAATTGGAGTATCGGAAGAACAAGAACACATAAATCCTATAAACACAACCTAACAATTTCTGTTTTTTGTCTTCTAAAAATGCAGTGTTCTAGTTCCAGATTTGTTTCATGGCGATCCATGGACAAAAGACCGGCCTATGTCACATATCGAACAGTGGATTGCCAAGCAAAACCGACAACGAGTAGCAAAAGATATATTTGCATCAGCTAAATGGATGATGAATGAATTTGCAGCTGTCGGAATCTCAAAGAAGCTTGGAGTCATTGGGTTTTGCTTTGGTGGCGGTCAAGTTGTAGATATTCTAAGCCAAGACGAGGATACGTGTTTTGGTGCAGGGGTATCGTTTTATGGCACGAGGATTGAATCATCTGTTGCTAGCAATATAAAGGTGCCTTTATTACTAATTGCAGGAGACAGTGACCCTCTTTCTCCTATCAATGTCTTAGAAGATATCCAAAAGAGGAATAAGGAATCGAAAATGGTTGTTTTTAGGGCGAGGGGTCATGGTTTTGCTCATAGACCTCAGACTCCTGAAGAAGATGAAGATGCAGAAGAGGCTTTCGAGATCATGAGAAATTGGCTGCATGATGGCTTGTTGGTGAAAGATTGAGATGTACACAATTCGCACATTTAGTAAAATGTATTGACAGTGCTTGTCAGTATTATGAAGGAAAGAGAATTTAAAATTTAATTTACGTCCTATTTATTATTGTGTACCAAATATGTGCAAGATAATTGTTTATTAAAATGTGCATGTTCTTGTGCACTTGTCCTCATGCCAATGAAGCATTCTATTTGGAGTTAGTTGTAAAGCCATACTACCATGTTATACATAAGGATCAGGCATCTCGTTGATCTTGTCTTGGAATATGTACTAAGCATACTTGATGATCAAGATCCATAGTCGTCTCTACGATTAATGAAAGAACAACGAAGATTGACTTCAGTCATGGATTCCACTTAACGGATTGTGATATAATGTTGCACCCAAATAGGTTTAAATTGTCCAAGTGTAAACTTGGCACGATGTTGGGAAATACTCAAAATTAACGTTACATAAAATGTTACTGTAACACGTATTATCATGCGATATGTACAGTAAGAAGTAATGGATATGGACAACGTATTAGCAAAAGTTGGTATCATCGTGCATCAAGTAACAACATTTAGTTACATCATTCATTCAGAGATAGTCAAAACTAACATGATGTTGCATCGAACAACAGTAACCATTAACAATCTAGAGACATTGTTTATATGCAATCAATCATTGACGTGATTATGTATTGACGTGGTTAATATGATTAACCATTGAACGTGATAATCAATTAAATACATCGAAAATTTATGTATTATAAAGATGCATAAAGACGTAACTGGGGTGAGTAGCACTCGGTTAAGAGTTAAGTTGCTTTGACAAAAGCAGCTAGCAGAAGGGGTAACAGAAGTAGCTGCCAGAAAGGGTGACAGTGGAGCAGATGGATTGTTTTCATTGGCTGTCAAAAAACTTTTTTTTCCCCGAAGGACAAATCAATGCTTGACACCTCTACTTTTGTTATACCATCTGTCAATCACTTCTATCAGTGTAGCAAAACTCCTCGATTAAATGCCACTTGATTAAAACCCATAGAAACTTTTGGGAAAAATTCACTTATAAGAGTTTGGGGTAATTTTTATTTCATTTCGACTTGAGAATCAGCTGGTGCATTACAATCCTTCTTGCTTCATGCAGGAACGCATGACTCTGAAGCACAAAAATAGCTCCAAATGGGCGAAGCGCATCTTAAAACGTGGTCTGAATGTCCAAGATGAAGGAACCTGAATTGCCATTGCTGAACAGCTTATCAACATGCTACTTTGACCAGAAAAATGAATTCTATGAAAGAAAGTAGTAGCAGCGATGAGAGTAGTGACGAGGACGACATTGATGAAACTTCAGCCTGTTCAGATCAGGATATTGTAGAGGAAATAGGAGGAAATGACCTTTCCATTCTTGTGTAATTCCAAAATGACCTTTGACTAGGAAATAGAATTTAAAAAAAAAAAAGGTCAAAATATAGGTTAACCTTGAAAAAGCCAAAAATACCCTCCTTTGACAAAAGGAAATCTCTCACAGACCCTTTCACCGTCGACCGACCCTCTCATTGTCGACCGGCCCAAGCAAATCACGAAACCGACCACCTGAAAATCAGCAAAGAGGTCACCGACGACTTGAAAGGTTGGTTGTTGTCATTAAAATGGATTTTTCACAGATAGGTTTTTCATAGATTTAGTTCGAATTTAATGTATTTTAGTTAGTTTATTTAGTGTTGTTTGATTGTGTAGTTGATTTAAAAGTATTTGAGGGAGATTTATTACATTTTTTGGAGCTTAAACTCGCTGAAAATGGCAAAAAATGGCCATTTCTGGCGATGGAAATGCCAGCTGTGTTCCCAAAAAGGCTGTTAACAGCCGATTTTTTAAACCGGCTGTTAACAGCTATCAAGCCGGCCCAGATTTGAATGTTAACAGTCGAATCTGGGCCGGCTGTCATTTGGGCCACAATCGGCCCAGAAATCGGCTGTTAATAGCCTTTGGGCTGGCTGTCATTTGAGCTACAGTCGGCCCAGATTTGGGCCAGCTGTCATTGGGCCACTTCTAACAGCCGGCCCAATATTATTTTTGTTAATATTTTTATAATTTAATATAATAAATAAATATTTTTATAATTTAATATCTTACATTTCATTAAAATTAATATAATTACATAAATGATTTATGTAATTGAATATTAAATAAATATTTATAGAATTAAATATTTTACATAATCAAAAAAATTTATAGAATTAAATAATTAATTTTAATTTGATAATTACTAATATCATCAAAAAAATCATTTTAATTATTAATTTTTTTATTTTAACATATTAGCAACTTCTTATTTTTTCCGTTAAATTTTATTAATAATTGAATAAATCGAATATGAAATAAATATTTATAAAATTAAATAATT